GGCCCAGACCACGCCTTCCACTCACCTAGGCCCAGAAGTGCGCTCGCGCCGCGACCACTGCGCTCCACCGGGGTGACCCGGCGCGCGCCACACGCCACCACAGATTCAAACCCAAGCCAGCTTCCTCGCTGTCGCTTCTCATTGGCTAGCCCCCTCCGTGACGTCACCACGTCGGACGTTGGCCCCGGCGCGTGCCGCCGTTGGGCGTCAGTGGGCTGGGTTTGAGGGCTGGGAGGAAGCTGCTTGGTGGCTCGTCGCCTTGGAAACGCGAGAGGCCGTTTCCGGAGGTGGGGCCCGCGGTGGGCGTGGCTAGCCGTGGGGGCAGGTGGGCAGCAGGCGCCTGCCGGTGAGTCCTGATTGGGACTAGCCCAGATAGCAGCAACCTACATAAGTGCAGCGTGGGGCAGAGCCCGGGCCGCTCCCTGGCATCCACCTCCTTCCTTGCTAGTCCTGGTCTTTGGCTCCAGCCCCCTGGCTTGGTTTCATCAGCATGGCCACGCCACTCCCACCAGGGCTGATTGTGGATCTGTTCCACGCCTGGCTGCTTTTCTAGGTCTGTAAGGACGACTCCAGGAAATGCTTTCACTTAATGAAACTGACCTCGTTATTGGGTGAAGCGATTTTTAAGTCTCAGTTCGTACATAGCATTTCAGAATGTTCACTTTGACAGGAGAAAATAAATGCCTGGGGAAGAAAGGGAAATGTCTTTGCTGAGATAACTCATTTTCATTTGTAAGGATATTTTATGTTATTGTATCATTTTTCTTTGTTTTTTTGCGGTGGTAAGAGCCAAACTCAAGGCCTCGTGTGTGCTTGGCAAACCTACTACTGAGCTACATCCCAAGCTCTTCTGTATATTTTAAAATAGTATTTGAATTGCCTTCTTGTTCTTTATATTACTGTAGATATTTATGGAGCAAGTATTGATTGTGGGTATTAGGTACCCCAAAATAAGCAGTAAAGTTAAAATCCCTATACTGCTGGACCTTACAGTTTAGTAATTCAGTATCACTGTATAAATAGGATACATGAGTGCAGCGAATTATAAATGAAAACCCCCCCACAGATTTTGCGTTCATTGCTATTGAAGACAATCAGGAGTAATGTAGTATGTATGATGTGTTGTATAATTGTTTCTGAGCAGTGAAAGACCCCCCAATAAAGCCACTTATTTCTGGTTGTCGTATGTATCTTAGCTAACAGAATACTTATTTGTGTGGTGCTGAATTTGGTAATAAAATTGAGAAGCCTCTTTTTTAATTACACATATGTTCTCACTAAATAACACCATTGATGTCTCAGGCTTTTATCACCTTACATATGTTAGTATCTTGATTCTCAAAACAGTCCATGAGATGTATATGTTGTTACTTTCATTTTGGTGATAGAAAACTGATGTTTCAGAAAATCCAAAAGCCAGTTTAGCATTGAGCTGTTTGTCTCAGAAATACATTATGGGTTAAGTGACAGTAAAATGATACCTCACTGTAGCCTGAAAGTAGGCATATCCTTCCATTTTCTTATAATGACATAAATGTTTTATAGCTTCACAGTCGGACAGTTATTTCCACATGAACCCCAAGTACTTACTGTACCCTAAATTTCCATTCAATTCCCTTCGTGTATAGTACTGTCCTGCTTGTAAGTCTGTATTAAGGAATTGTACATTTTATTAAAGCGGAGAGATTTTCACATTATAGTTGATGCCATTAATGTGCCAGCTTTGTTTGGTAAGACATGAAGGAGGTATAACAGAAGGTAAGACAGTGGCGTATTTTGTAATGAATGGAGGGGAAAAACTTTCCAAACCTTTAGAGATAGGCAGAAAGAAATTCCCACGTTTTGTCAGAGATTAAAGTGCTGTATAATTGCCATGGTATTAGAATCCATATTTAAAGTACTTTCACAGTAAACCGAAGAAGAGAAAAGAAAAGCTAATTTAAAACAGCCCTAGACATATAAAAAAAAAGTAAAAGCGAATTCAATCCGCCTAATGGTGAGATTCCTTCTTCCCTCCAGGAAAGTCCCTCGCGAATCTCAGTGTATTACAGGGACCTTTCGCAGCCTCGGAACCAAAGGCGCTCGGGCCTCGGTTGCAGGCGGATGAGGGCCTGGTTTGTCCGTCCGTACCAGGTTCCCCCATGTCTGGGACTGACACGAGCGGGAAATTTCAGGCACGCCGGCACTATAGTGGTCATCTCTGGCTCCAGTCAGAGGGCAACAGAGAAATCTTCGTGCCTCAGGTGAGGAGAAGGCAGCGGAAGCCGCCCCGTCTAGTGCGCCGCGGCGGTCGGCGCTCGCCCCAGCCTGAGGCTGGGAATAGGGTGGATTCTCCCCTTTCACTTCCTCTGCCTTAGAGCCTGACCTCCCAGTGTTAGCCTTCCATTTGCAAACGGGATGCAAAGTCCCGCGAGGCCGGGCAGGTGTCAGCGTCCTTGGAGACCCGCTCCCTCGGAACTTTGTTGGAAGGTAACAGTCGACGGACTTAGGCAGGGTACCACACAACCTGCTATCCAGGTCTACTTCCCCTCCTCTACTCAGCCCTGTGACAAGCGAATGCACTTAACCCGAAGCCAGTGAAGACGGCTGACCTTAGAAGCCTGTGGAACACTCTGGTAGGAGCCACAGAGGAGAGGGAAAGCAGAGAAACGACCGACGAGGAAAACGAGATATTCATAGCCCTTCTCCCTGTTGACCCAACATAGTGGCCAATTCGTTCATAATAAAATCTTTAGGCTTTGTACCTTGAGTATAGTTGAATAAATACATAGAGATTGAATACTTTACAAGAAAACGAAAGACTGATGATGATAGCATACACCTTGCTTTTCCTCATGTAGTTCAGATTCCTGTATTGTAATTGCTGCCTTTTAAACATTATCAAAATCTAGACATAAGGTGTAGATTGTTTCAATAGTCCAAATTCTGTAGTATAGGGCTATACATTGAATGCTGTCTTCTGCCTACACCACAGCATACTATGATTTCTGAAAGGAGCAAGGCCAAGGCATTGGCTGCTGTTTCCTTCTAAAGAAATTAAATTAAATTATGAGATAATACACATGTATAGCATAGAGTCATTAAATTACATGAATTCATAAAATAGTACCAGTGGATTATACTTATAGAATGGGGGTGAGATTGCCGGTTCTGGGAATAGACTGTTCTATAGTTCTCTGTGTGATCTTTGGAAAATTATTTAATATCTCCTTTTTCCTCTTGTAAAATGGAATAATATGTACCTATAAAAGTGATGGTAAGGATTGAATGAGTTAGAACATGTCTTGTGCTAAGAGTAGTAAGTACTTAGGAAGTGCTAAATTAATATTGGACACCAATTTGAAAAGCATTACTAAGTTATAGGGTAGTTGAGTTTGTGTTGTGTAAGCAAGACATAATTAACAATTTCCCTAATTTGTCTTTGCTTAATATCCAGAAATATACTTAAAAACTTTAATTTTTAGTTTACCTTTTTTTGCCATTTTTTTCTGTATCATGATGCCACATAATCAGTGTATTATATTTTTAGTAAAGTTGACCTAAAAAAAAGTTATATTATTCTCAAGGTGATATCTTATTCAAGTTATTTTTACATAATATATATTCATATTCCATTCAGTTTTAGTCAACATGGGTGATTACCTTTTTAAATTTTCTGTCAAAAAGTAAATGAAGATATTTACTGGAATGTGTTTCTTTAAGAATTCTAAGAACATGTGGTTTTGGTAGCTTCAGTCAGATTTAATTTCCTAAAGTGAGGATTGATAAGAATGTGTATTCTGTGGGCTCTGGAATTTATCCATACATTCTTCTTTTTTTTCCCCAGGAAGACATTATTAAGCACCTAACAAACATCTAATTTTGTGGATATAGGGGTATAGGTCTTAACTCATAATCCATGAAGAAAAAAGAGTAGTGTTAACCAGGTATTTCAGTCATATTAAAAACTACTTCAAAGCAGTTGCATAAAATGCAGAATGTTTTCAAAAGATCTTCTATTAGTATTTCATAAATAACTTTTACCCTTTGAATTTAAAAGAATTACAACTTGCAGAAGAAAATGGTCTTAGTATGAGAAATTAAAGAAATATATCAATTGTTTACTTGACTTTTGAATATAGGGGTCAGACAAAGGTGGTGGCGTTGAGGTATAGTTCAGAGGTAGAATGTCTGCTAAGGATGAGTAGGCATTGGCATTAACTCCATCATCCCCACACCAACTGAACAAACAAACAAGAAAGGTGGATACAGGAAGCCAGAAGTGTACATAAAATCACAAACAGATGCAGGCTCTGTTAAGATGTTTCCTCAGAATCTAACCCTGAGAAATTCACAAGATTTTCAGTGGCTGCCATCCTCTGTTCTTTTTAGCTGTATGTGTCTAGTCTTTTCCCTGGAATGATCTTTTCTACAAATATGAGAATTTTGCATTATGAGAAAAATAAACAGAAAAGCTAGAAATCTGACTATCATTTAGGATATTTGTCATGCTTTTAGTCATCCAGATAGTTTTAAAAATAAATATTTTGAACTCATTCAACCCATTCTTCAGAAGTAAAGTTTGAAAATATATTTTTCTTAAAAAGATGACTGAATAACCACTTTTCTTCTCTCTGCTGGTTAAAACATGAATGGTTCTAGAGCTTGTTAGACCAATTAAAATTTATATTTGTTATGTTTCTGCGTTCACTTAGTTTCCTTATTTCATATAAGAAAGTCACCTTCACTTGCTCACATTTTTTGATGTATTAAATATTTCATAATAATGTGCTTTCTCCAAATTATTTTAACACTTTTAAAAAAAATCCAACAAGTATTGTATTTTAAATTTCTTTTCTAGATTTGTTGACCTACAGAATGCTTCGATACCCGTATTTATGTAGACGTATATATAAGGAGTGTTTTTCATACTGGTTGGAATCTGGCATACTTAATTTAGATCTCTGGCAAAAAAAATTACATACTACAGCAGGAAGATGTAATGAATATAAAACCCCAGCACAAGCAAGTCAAACTGGAGCCCAGGAATTGCACACATCTCAAAACAGAGATTCTGACACTGTGGCTAAATTACATATTCCAGTAATGGTGGATGAAGTCGTTCATTTTTTGGCACCACAGAAAGGGCAGGTGAGTGTATTTGTTTTGTGTTTTTTAACACGTTGAGATATAATTCACTTATGTAATAGTCACCATCTTAAAGGATACAGTCCAGAGTTGTTAGGATATTCATGAAGTTTTACAGTCATAACTCCTGTCTCTAATTCAGAAATTTCCTCTCTGTTGTAGTAAACCTCGTACCCATTTGCATTCAATCCCCATTGAATTCATTTCCTCAGCCCCTGGCCATCGCTTAGCTGCTTTCTATATTTATGGGTTTGCCTAGTGCAGACATTTGATATAGATTCATATAATAACATGGCATGTTGTGTTTGCTTCTTTTACTCAGTGCATTTTCAAGGTTTGCCCATGTCGTAGGATGTATTTGTACTTTGTTCCTTTTTTCCCAATGGTGTATGCAAGATAACTGGCCCCACTGAGCCACACTCCCAGCCCGACTGGTTCTTTTTGATGGCTGAATCAGCCCATCATATGGACATACTACATTTTGTTTATCCATTTATTGATTGGTTAGCATTTATATTGTTTCTACTTTGTAGCTGTTGTCAGTTGACTATTAGGAACATTTGTGTACAAGTTTTTATATGCACATATATTTTCAGTTCTTTGTTGGATATACCTAAGAGTTGTCAGGATCGTGTCTCTTGTGCTTTGGGTCTGTGATAAAATCTGACAGGGTTACTTGAGCAAAAACAACATGGCACAGTGATTAGACAACCACTGGATCCCTAACAGATGAGTGGCACGTACAGTGTGGATAAGGAGGTGATTCACGAACAGGGACAGTGTGGGTTTTCATCACATTGTTCAGAAAGGTACACAACTGAAAACTTTTGAATAATTTAATTCTGAAATAAACCAAGGATGATTGAAATCATGGAAAGTGAAAGTGCTGATAAAGAGGACTGATCTGTGTGATATTTTTGTTTATGTGCCTCTGTGTGTATGTATGTATGTGTGTGTGTTTGTGTGTGTGTGTGTGTGTGTAGAGAAAGGATTGGCTCATGGAGTGTGGAACCCTTCATCTGCAGGGTGGGCTTGCATGTTGGAGACCCAGGGAAGAAGAGTTGCTCTTGAGCCCAGAAGCAGTCAGTCTGCTGCCTGTCCCAGCAGGCCTCATTTCGATTGCATGAAGGGATTTGCTGATTGGTTGAGGCCTGTGTTCTGTGGGTAATCTGCTACATTAAGAGTCCTCCAGTGTAAATGTTGCTCTTACTCCAAAATCACCTTCACAGAAGTATTAATAATATTTGACCAGATTTTTGGGCACCGTGATCCAACCAAACTGATATATGAAATTAAATATCACACTTATCTTTCTTACAGTACTGCTAGCAGGATTAAATAAGATCTTTTTCATGAAAGGCTTAAATCAATGAGGAGGTCACAAAAATATTAGGTGATATAATATCCCAAAAAAGGATGGCAAGTTTTTGATAATTAAGTACATTCACACAAGAAAAATATATAAAGAGCAAATTTTTTCAAATGCCTGCTTATCTTGTAATACTGATAATGTTCTCAGTGTATTGACTTTAGAAATAAAACTTCTTACTGTAGAAGCTATTGCTTTTGCCTATTTCCATTTTAAAAGTCATGCCTTCCTCCTTTTCTCAACATGTAGGAGCACATGCAGATTAATAGCAAAGATTTAACAGCAAATATTCTGGAACTGGACTCTCTAGGCCCAAGTCTGTCTAGGATATGTGGCCAAGCCCACACCTACACCCCCACCCCACCCTACACTAAGTTCTGAGCTATACGTATAAGATATCCTAGATGAATATGATGCTGTTCATGTACAAGCCATCAACAATACAAAGTGGGTTTTCTTCATCATACAATTGTTTACCTTTCCTCAGACAGTGTTTACATAACAAAATTATTCCAGCATTCTTGTGTGTTAAGTCTATAGATCAATGCTGTCACATTGTAGGGACTCTAAAATAAATATACATAAGATATAAACTAAATAATTAAATGGGGCAAGACTTTGTGTTAAGTGCAACTTATTAAAATGAAATCTCTTCATTTTCTTAAAGATTCATAATGCAAAGATAGCAATGAAAACCTATACTGAAGTGCATTTTTAATGGTAGACTTAAATGTATATGATACATTTGTGCACATGCACACATAAATAATGTGTGTTGGGCAAGTGATACCAGTGGCTCGAATTTGACTTCTTGAACCTCAGAAACCAAAGACCCAGGATCAATTTACTGAACCCTAGTAGCAAAACCAAATATTTATCTTGTACTAACTCATGGAGTTGGGAAAAAAAAAACCAATCCTACCAAGTTTCCTAGTAAATTTGTAGCATATCTATCTTTTTTCTAAAACCAAATGTAACAAAATTGGATGACTCTACAACTTGACCTACTTGCCTGCCATTTCATCCCATCCGGATTCCTGACAAAAGTAATGGTGGTTTATTTTGACATCTCCATTGGTCTGATCTGGGATGGGTTTGCTAGTAACTTTTTATAGAAAGTTTAATTTTATGAGTGTTATTTCTGAAAACTTTCGTGTGAAGTACACGTAGAGACGATGTTATTCTTCCTCTTTGGCTGTCTGGCAGACAGCTTTATTCACTATTCCCTTAATCTTCAAGTAATAAAAAACTGGTGACAGTCCTGGGACAAGAAAGGTTTTCTTTCCTCCCCGAATCCATTATTTGCCTCTCTTTCTTCCTGAGCCTTTTCCCCAAAATCATTTTCCTGTGGAAAGTATGAGTCCTACATTCCCTCGTATCAGGCACCCACTCATATACTGTTTTGTACATCATCTTCTGGAGACTTTGCAGATGAAACTTCTGATCATAAGAAGAAGTTCACCAAACTTCTTGATACAATCTTAAGTGAGGTCCAGGGTATTTGATAGTTATTTGTTTATATTTTAATAATTAAAAGGTACTGATTTAAAGACAGATTTTTGGAATTTCTTCAAAATCACAGCTAGTTTACTACTGTGTACTGATATTAAATTAGATATATTTACAAATATTTAGTAGTTTGTATTATATGGAAAAGATATGCTCTTGTCTTCCACTCTTTTGTGAAGTATAGAAGGAACTATCGTTGTTTCTCCATGCTTAGTTTTTATCTCATATTCTGGGTAACATTTTGTAAGAATGTATTTAGTGACTTGGAAACGTATTCTTGCTTTGGAAATGTTTCACTGCGGGCTACCTTGTCAACTTTTCATTCCTAATTTCCAAAGGTGGAAGGAATAAGCATTATGGCATCTCATGGCTCCCAGGAGGGCTGAGTTCTAAGGAAGGCGCTGTTTGTGAGAAAGGACTCGTACTGATAGCAGTGCAGTTTCAGCCAAGTGCCTTGTCGTGGCCGTGCCTGCCTCCTTGTGTGCTTGCCGTGTGGACAGTTAGTTCATGCAGGTCTGTTGCTCGGAATGATAATGTCGCAAGTACTGTGCGCTCGATAAGCATTAACTGTTCTGATCACGGGGAAAGAGAGATGAGAGTTGGCACTTAATTTAAAAGAAAATTAAGGTGAAAAATGCCAGGAGATGGCAAAGGTGGAAGCAGTACATCTGGGACTTGGCTGTGTGGCTGGAGTGCCCCTCCTCGCTGCCTCGGGAGCCTGGGCGCAGCTGTGCTTTCCGCCCGCAGGGGAGACACCTTCCCGGAGTGGTATGTGGTTCTCCTTCGTATATGTGTAGCCTCGGATCGCAGTTTTCTGAGCTCGTTCATTCTGTGTATAACTCCCTTAGTATCCTGCTTCCTAGAAAGTTAGGGACATGTTTGTCTTGTTTGCCATTGTGTGTCCAGTGCTTGGCTGAGGTCTGCCACATAGAGGTCTCACAATGACATTTTAATCAAACGAATAAATGTTAGATATGCCGGAGGATAGATGTGAGGTGCCAGTGAGGTGAATGTCCCTTGGCTGTTGAGGTACCTCTCTGGCTTAGAACTTACATAACTGCAGCCTCCGTGTGGCAGGCCTTGTCTGACCTGGTAACTGGAGAAACTCAGTGATGGAACAAATGAAGACCAAGAAAATGAGCTGATATCTAAGTTGATGCAAGATAGGATTCATCATGATTAATCGGCTAAGGTTGCATTGTTTGGTGGATAAATATTCTGTTTTAATATGCTGACATGTGTTAAGAATTTTTAATATTAGATTTTCTGTAGTTGTCATGGCACTTCCATTGGTAAAATTTTTGCTTTAAAATTCCTTTAAAAATTTCCTTTAAAATTGTTTTAGTTTTTATTTTTTGTGGGGATTGAACCTAGGGCCTCATGCAAGTCAGGCAGGTTGGTGTTCTAACACTGAGCTACACTTCCAGGCTAATAGTTCTCTTCATAAAAACTGCATTGTGCTCTGTATCATGGAAATCTCTTACCATCAATAGCAATATTTTACTTGAACATCTTTGTAATCTTTAATGCAGAGTAAACATCAAAGAGAAAATGCTAGAGCTGTGTTTTCTCTCTTTAATAATGAATACTGGTGACCAAAGAGTTTATTTTGTTTGACACCAGATTTTCAAAGAGTTAGAAACTGTTGTGAGGGCAAGAGTAGCAGCACAGCAAGATAGTTGAACCCCTTGGAAAGACCTTTTAAGATTCAAATGGAATGAACTCTAGTGTAGTGTTGTTCTGCTTCTTAGAAGAGAGGTTTCTTTGAGAAAAAATTTCACATTGCATTTTATATTTGAAGAATGTTTCTGTCTTAAAACATCATGTAGCACATTAAATGGCCTTTGTATTAAAATGCCTTCTGGAGTGTGGTATTTCCAGTGCTGTGCTGGTAAATGTTTAACACTTGCCTCTGGGAGTGGGGCTTCGCTATGAATTAAAAAAAAAAGGCAAAACTCCTGAACTGTAGCATTTGCACATTTCTGTGTTACACACAGTCTTCCTGTTACCACTTTAAGCTGCCAGCCTGCGCTCCCCGATGTAGGTTTGGTCTCTACGTGCTTCTTCATCGGACTCCTGGATCTTCCACGCCCTGCTCATTCTGTACTCCCTTGCCCTCACTTTT